CCCAGAAGCCCAGTTCGGCCCCCCTCATTACTCCATGTTTATGGCACTTTCAGCCCTCCAAAGTGCCGAAAACACCGAGCACAGCCCCCTTCCCACCCTCTCCCGCTGGAAATAGCTCGTCCTCTCATCCTTCAAACCAAAGCAACCCCTGAGCTCCTGCACAAAACCCCTTTTGTGCCTGAGCCTCACGTAGCAGCAGTTGGCAAGTAGAGCAGTCGTGATAAACCAGCTGTCATGCACACAATGCAAACCTGTCGTGCGTATGCAACACCTGTTGTGAGTATGTATTCCTTGTCATGGTTGCAACTTGTTGTGACCCTGTCATGGTCAAAACACGATTACGAAAAAAACTTGCATGCCCACTTTGGTGCATCGACAGAGAGCGCTACATCTCAATTCGCTGCTGCACAGCTGGGTGTCCTAAGATCAGCCTCTTCCTTGGACTTGCAACCCGCTTTCTCTTTCTCTTTGCCGCCACACAAGCTTGACGGCTCGAGTGTCCAGACAGGTCGCCTGTTGAATTGGTTGCTAGGGGCACTGGCGCTTGGGACATTTCCTCAACCTGCACAACTGCCCCGTGGCCAAGGCACCGTGCGGGGAGTGACAGTTACTGGAATCGATGCTTAAGAGCCCTGCCGCCAAGCGAAGTCTGTAGACAGGGGAGAGGCCTTGACACCCATCTTGCACAGCTTGTTGGCCTGTTTACAAGCATCCCAATACCACCAATGCCTGATGCATCGTCGGAGCCGATGAGTGGCTCAATCACCCACCTGTGTTCACTGCGCACAGGTTGGCGCATAAAGCATACATAGTTGTATGTAGGACCACGGCTCCGTTGGCATATGGCCATCTTGGCCTTTCACGGCTTGCGCTGTGCACAATAAAAGACATCGCAAGGGAAAAAAGCGGAATCCTCGTGATTCATTCTTTGTGGTATACGCTTGCCTTTCCGCACAATCACAGATCGAGATGAAGGGCATTCGGCTCCATCTTCTGCCTTCCGTAGAATCGAGACGTTCAAAATCTCAGTTGACTGAAATCTGAGCGACAGACAACATCCAAAAGCCACCCGCTCGGTTGACTAAAATGCTCAGAAACAAGATGGATGAAGAACCTGTGACCAGATCGAGAAGTGTCGCGAGCAATACGTAGCTGTTTGAACTTAGTGAAGGACTGATGGTCGGAGGAGCCCCTTGCCAGCCGCCAACTCCCTCCAGCAATACCGGGTCTGTGAACGCTCACGAAGGTCCTGAACTCCATGCATCCCAGAACCAGAAATTGCAGCAGGTCCAAGGCTCGAGCGAATCCAAATCCCTCTGATCAGATCTTAAACCGCGCTGCCTGCAGCAAGGCAATGTTCAGAACACAGGAGCCTGAAGATATGAGACCTCACCTGTCCCGACTTGACAAGTCAATTCCAAATTGCATGAAGCATGCACGGTCCGTCGAGATAAAATCCAGAAAAGCAACAACAATTCAGCGAACATATTCACTTGTACCCTTGGAGGCTTTGCAGTTGCAATCGCATGTGCAAAAAATGTTTGTGACTCGTTTTTGCCTGAGGTCTCTGGAAGGTTAGAGTGTTTTTTGCGTCTCAGGACTTGGGTGTTGGGGCCTCAAACTCTTTGGATTGACGGCATGACAATTCATAGCGTTTCAGGGCCTTCAGTTCAAGGGTTTTCGGCGGGGTCTTAGAGGGTGCATGATTGCATGCAGACTTTGGGGATGCAGGGTTTAGATTTGGAGTTCTACGGTTTGGGGGCTTCAGGTTTCGAAGCCTGGAGATCTCAAACAAAGGCGGGCTTCAATCAAGTTTCCATTGAAGCTCTTTGACAGCCTCTACGAACCATCAATTGAAGCTTCAAGGTTTGCTCCTGGTAGAATTCATTTACACATTCACTTGGATTCTACACGTTGAAAATTGTATTAGAACTTCTTCTACACAGTTGCATACTCTATTTCTTCTACACAGTTGCATACTCTATTAACGCATCCACTCAAAACTTCTGAAGCTTCTATCAAGGTTTCCTCCTGCAGGTCCAGTAAATCTTGTATTACGGATTGGCCGACAGCGTCACAATTCGAACCATCGAAGCTTGAAACCCCTGATTTTCATCAGGGTTTTGCCGCCTCCACGTCGTGCCCACCGACAGCTTTACAGTTAAGAGTCGTCGACGGTGACACGTCAGGTCAACCAACCGCTTCACACTTCAGGCATGTCAGCACACCAAATCAAGGATGTGAATGTTATCGAGGCTTTCAGCTTTCACAGCACCTCTGAACGAGATCATGTCCCACTTTGGAGTCATCGAAGCTCAAAATCACAATTTGCTCGTGGTTTTTGCGTCACGACACTCACAGTTCGACCATGTCAACTCAACAGGTCAAGCTCGCGAGTTTTGAGATGCGACACATTTCCACCGGCGGAGGTGTTTTTTTTCCTAACGTTGGCTCGGGGTCTACGGGACCAAAAGACCACGGGACCAGGGGGCCAGCCCTGACTCCAGAGCCCAAGACGAGCCAAACCTAGGAAAAAAAACACGGGACCCCCTTTCCAACACGCAGCCTAAACCATTTCCCCACGGCATGGCCTCCCACAATAAAAATTTCTAAGCCGATCAGTTGTTGAAAAGCTAACACCAATCTAATGACCTTCCACGAAGAACTTCTATAAACCAAACAACCTTTCGATATGAATGCCAACCAGCCACAACATCGCTGCAATCGTCACACACCAACAACTCAGTTATAATGAACAATCTTTTGCAACATGTTCGCCAAAACCAGGCCATGTCCAAATAAATGAAAGCGCAAAATCCACAAAATCTCAAAAACAACTCGTGACTTTTCTCATGAGGATAAACTGTAACCACTGAAGGGGTTGTGACCTTTGAAGGCGTCCCGGTTCCGCCGACAAGTTTATTATTACGAAAGCGAATGCGTCCCGGACAAATCGCAAGCCGTTCTTCAATGACCTGGCTGCCTGATTGAAACCTGGCCACTTCTGCCAATCTGATGACCTTCCACTAAAATCAATGGACCAGGCATGCTTCATTGTCATCGCAAGCATCTCACATCAATCAATAGCAAAATCCACAGACAAACTTTAAGACACATTTGCCAGTAAGACTGATGCAGTAGACAAGATGCTTGACTTCACCCTTACTTGCAGTTGACACTAAACCTACGGATCGCCTTCAAGTCTTGGGTCAAGGAAATGAATTTAAATCAGTGTTCTTGAAAGGCTCTGTAAATGTTCGCTTTTGAAATATCTTAGTAAAAATCGTGCAAATTGTTGTGAAAGCTGTTTTGCTCTGACACGATCCAACATGTTGCAAACATTGTAACAGTTCTTTGTTTTTTGCCTTCCTTCAAAAATGCCTAACTTTTTTTGAAATATTGAAAACCTGATTTAATCTTTGTTCTAATACTTATGACTCGGCATTCCTGCGTGGAAACACAAGGTGCAAGAGTCCGGCAAGTATGGGTTCCAAGTTTCCGAAAATACTATCCCCACGCTGACCGTGGCTAAGAATACAACGTCCCACGATCCAGATGAACCACACTACTGGTCAACATCGCAAGCAAAAGACAACTATTACGTCTGCTAGTTGCTGTACGAAGGAGGTTGCTGAAAGTAAACAACAAAAGAAAGGTCAAAAATCAAGCCTGATTTGCACAAGTGGGGCCACTGGCCAACATTCCGGATTGCGGGTCCGCGACTTGCGCGAAGGAAGGCTAAGGGTCATGTTTTCTCGTTGTTGGGCCTATGGCTTGTGTTCGGTATGACGCGCATGGCCTATACTTAGGGCATGTGGGCTTATGGCAAGCGTTCAGGTATGGACATGCGGTCAATGTCAACTACATGTACAAGCCTTTCGGGCCTATGTAGACGTCGAGATTCTGGGCCCATGGTCAGCGTTGCAGCTTCAAACATAAACTCAAATTTGACACAATGCCATCAGCAATTTACTCCCAAACATCGGCATGTTCATCATATGTAAACGTACTCGCCAATTCAGTATTCCAAGTTTTTTATTTTTCGTTGTGTAAACTCCTTCTTTGCTGCTGGGCTGCTGGCCGGCGTAATGCGCTAGCCAAGGCTTTGCCAGCTCCACGCCAGCCAAGAGGCCTTGGACACTCACATAGGAGCCCGGGTCCAACTTCACGCCAGCCAGAAGGCCCCGCCGCAGCTGCACCTCCTATTCGCCTCTCGAGTTTTGAGTCTTGAGCCATGCATATACAACATATATATGTTGCTTTGTCCAAACATTGATGAACTGATTGCAGGACAGTTTCGTTGGGTTACTGTTGGAAGTGTGATGACAATGCCCTTGTTCTGGAAGCAGTTTCGTGGATAACATGGATTCATAGCAAATGCAAAGGACCCATGACAATTTGCTCAAAAAACAGTCGAGGGGCAAAACACGCCGAGAAGATCGGGGAAACAACATCTTCAATGGCTGAAAATTTGCAAAACAAAATTCACAAGATGTTGGCATATGTTCTCCTAGTCTCAAAAACATCCCAAAGATATTTCCAAAGATATGCTCAAACTTTTTGGAAATGTTTCATGCTCCACGACTAGTGGCTTCAACCACCGCCTTTCTGAAAACACCTAGATTTTAGGCTTAATCGAGGGATATCGAGGGTTGAAGAGGTTAGGGCTTGGGCGGTTGAGTTGTTCGGGTTGTAGGGTTTAGGGTCTAGGGATTGAGAATGGAGTTAGCGCATTTTTGTAGCTGTATTGTCTTGCAACCCTACCAGTATGGTAGTTAGGGTTTGGTGTTTGCTGGTATGGGTTTGGGGTTAGAGTGAAAGATTCGGTTTTCAGGGCTATGGAAAAAGAGATTGAAGAATTTACAAACTGCAGGATTTGAGCAAGCGTCAGGACCTTGCAGTTGAGGTGTTCAAGGATGGTTTAGGGGTGTCCAGGGATTGGGAAAGAGGAAGAAAAAGTCATGGCGACAGTAACACTAACTAGCACAAGGACCACAAGAAGACGGACAAGAAAACGAAGAACAAGACCGAGAAGACCATGTTAATGTCATGGGCAACCGAGCGCAAAGATCACATACCCTGTAACAGCCCTAGCAAAAGAAAACAAACGTGCACAACTATACGTAGGATGCTGCCCTTGTGCAAACTGAATAACTATCAACTGGCTTGTCGCAACCATTAAACAGATCTCATTATTAAATCACACGTTTCAACTGAGCAAGAAAAAGTTGCAACTAAGTATGCTACTCTGCGGACTACAGTAGGTGAGGTGGCACTCGGTTCTGAGACTCACGCGCATCCAAATACCACCCTGAATTGATGCCATGATGTCCCCTTAGATGCGCAACATCAGGAACGAGGCAAGCAGCTGTTCAACATGCACTAGTATAAGGCCCTAGCGCAAGACGAACTCGCACAACGGGTCTGTCATCTTCCTTGACAATCAGACAGTTAAAAATGTAGGGGTCAAGGCAACCGCACTGGGAAAAGCACCGCGGCCTTGGGGATTGCTGGCCGTTCTGACACCGCCTGCAAAGCTTTCTTTCAAATATAGAGCCATTCTCTGCTGTGCAACACTGTCATAGCACTGGCCTTTCGCGTTAGGCGCAGCGGCTGCGAAAGGAGCATGCAGGCAGTTACGCATGCTCAGCGGCTCAGGAAGATTAAGTCACAAAAAGCTGGGTGTGAATGCGTACTGCACAAGCTTTCAAAATGTGGCAGTTGGTTCATTGAGACAAGTTGTCGTGTGATACTTGACACAGATTGAACACCAACAAGGACAAGAATTGCAAGGGCAGGAATGCAACAGTGCAACACAGGTGCCAGCTTGGCCACAGAAGCCAGAACATTCAAGAAACTGCTTCGTGCACTCTGTGTGCTGCCAGTCACGCGCGCGCTATGCAGCACCACATAGAAGATTCCTTCAGAACATGACTACAGAATGCGACGTGACAGTGATGTTTGCGCTGTTGCAAGTTGTTGCGACCAACATATTGTATGACTTCTATAATAGCCTTTGTTGCTGGCTCAGATGTGTGGAAGACCATTCACCTGACATGGAGCGGCAGGCTTCCAAGCGCAACTAGCGCGGCAAAGACTGGGAATTTGACTCCCATTCTGGCAAGTACGCGCTGTCGATGACACCTGCAATTCTCGAAAGCAAACAACCATAAGGCTTTTTAAAAAGAGCACACACCATCACGCACCTGCTCCTGGGCGCTCCAAATTGCAGGCCTGCGGTTAAAGTTAAAGCAGAAAAACCTCAGCACCTCAACTGCGGCCGCGGTCTCACCTTGTAGAAGAAGCAGTCTCCACGGCCGATGGACCATTTCATTTCATGGGTGTCGATAGTATGGCAGTTCCTGACCTTAGAAGGGTGCTGCTTGGCTTGAAGTGTAAGAAGTGTAACAAAAGCAGCAACAGCAACAGCAACAGCAACAGCAACAGCAACAACAACCAGGTCACGTTTACATAGCGGATGGCGACGCGAACGCATGCAAGTGCAAGCTGGCATGGCAACAGCCACGTTGGAGAAACATGACTGTGTGCTATCCGCCCTGGGCTAGTGAGCATGCATTGGACTAATGGGGCGAGCTCTTGACTGATGCGGCGTGCATTGGACTAGTGAGCGAACCGTGGACTGATGTGCATGGATGCCTTAGTTATTTCAACATGGGTGCTCTGGGTATCGGATTCTCTGAAGCACTGACGCCATTATGGAATGGGAATGGATACGCAGGGCCATGGGATGCTCCTGAGCATGGATGATATTATGCTTTGCGCATGATGCGCCGGACCATCGCACGCACTAGGCACGATAGATGCTCTTCAACATTGACATTGCTCTGGAATGACACCTAAAACTGTTGTAAGTCTCCCTTTTCTATGGCAGGTTCTGGCATGCAAAAAATCCGAAGACTCAGTTCATTTTGGCGTTTGCAAGCTTCATTTTGAAACAGGCTTTTTCCCTAAGAACGATTCCGCGAAAATTCTCTTTTTTAAGTGGCTATTGTAGCACGCCGACGGAAGATCCTTCCGTGTCATGATATGCCATGCCGGCGAGTGTTTTCGAATGCAGGATACCGCGCGATCTGCCATGAAACCTTTACTAACGATAACGAACCAACAAAACAAAACAAGAAACAGGATCGTCAATTCCCATTGCTTTTTGTGCGGCGTTACAGACCCTGGACTGCAGCATGTGTCAAAGAGTTGCAAGCCTCATGGCTTGCGCATGTGTCTACCAAGGCTCAGCCCAGCACAACTACTGTGCCTCCCTTTGTGAGCAGGTACTGGGCAATGTTGTTGTGGCCAAACTCCTTCCAAGTATGTTTTGTGCAGGTAGATAAATATACCGCACATAAGGATTAGACTCGAGTGCACCTCTTGATGCCAGCCTGCAAGGCAATAAGACAGATTGGAGCCTGCTTGGATATGAAACAAAGACCGTGATTATTTCCAAATGCTGAGCACAAAGACAATGAAGCTAATGTTTTGGACGCACTTCACAAATTCCAACAAAGGAGGCAAATGGTGTCCTTGGCGATAAAGACCTTGCCGAAGTCTCGCATGTTTTTCAGCGAGCTAACTTGTGTGAACCAACTCGTCATATGCAGGAAAGGGGCGGCGTTTCCATTCCATAAGACTGGATTGACTTCATCAACGTCCTGTAGGCCAGGTTCTACAAGCCGCGAAAACACAATATCGCTGCTGAGAACTGCGGTTACACATGATAGCTTCGCGTCTTCGCATCCCTGTCTTGTGTCATTCCCCCAACCATTCTAGTGAAAGGCCAGTGGTATGACTTGACCAATTCTGGCGCGAACCTGCCCATTGTCTACATATTCCTTCACACGGTTGAAGTCACCTGCGCAACGAGCTGGCAAGCAGACAGTTACAAGCGTAATACACTGCATGATCGGCACAACCCACTTTGAAAAGACTGCCTGCACAGCAGGCTCCCCACCAGGTGTGCTGCGAGCCCTTGCTCTTCAAATATTCGCCTCTCCACTGTGATCTTGTGCAACAAACAAACGTGGTGAACCTTGTAAACAAGCAAGGCGCATATCGGATGCTCGTTGGGGAATCGGTAACCCTCCGGCAGTGGACACTCAAGACAGACTCCACATGTTGACCGAGAACTAGCACCACATCTTTACTGCCTCATAGCCGGCATAATCGATGGCACGCAATCCTGCGATGCAATGTGCGTGGCCAAACCATACAATGAGTCTCCCATCGAACCAAACTGTGGTGTAGGGTGCAAGTCAAAGAGAAGCATATGCTTGGATCCTGCACGGGAGAGCGGTCCATCCAGGTCGGCCTCAAAATCCTCGACTAGAACCTGGACGAGGTCCTGCTGCTCAGCCAGCTGATCAAACACAGGTCCTACTGCTTAAATATCACCCGACACTTTTGAAATCTCTCAGCGGTCCCAATTGCCCATCATGCAAGAGATCATCAAGGCTGTCATGTGGTTGCTGTCCAAGGGGGCGTTTGCATTTACACCAGCCTGCATGCTAGCAACATCGGCCATTGCATGCATCCATCTAACGTTCACGCCTGCAACAGTTTTCGCACCGTGAAGACATCACCATCCACCACAGCTTGTTCCAGCTCATACAGGTCAGGTGGAAGAGTGTCGCGAAAATAGTCGCCCGAAAACCGATTCGGGAATTTGCGTTCCTGACTGAAGGACAGAAACGCATTTGGTGCACACTTTCAGCAGGCCTGCCTCAAGAACTGGGTAATCCAACGCCCAAGATGGAAGAGTCATGGCCACCTTTTTTGGGAGCCTCTGGCTGCGGAACGGAAATGGAAACCTTGAACTGTTGAGCATTCCACTATGGCTGCAGAGCCCTTGCAATTCCAAAATGCGATAACATATCTCAAGAAACCCGCCCGCTGGCAACAAAATATCCCGGCATCGAAATTGTCATTTTAACACAACTTGATGTGCTTTTAAAACAAAAACATCCCACATGGTTTAACATGATCACCCGCGAACAACAACGGACCCGAGCACGCACATGCATGCTACTTTGAAAAGAGAAAAGTTAATTTTGTTGAACAAATGTTACGTTCTCGCCAGCCCTCTCCCGAAATGCTTCTTCCGGGCGTCTAGCTGCCACAAACAAACTGTTCTAATGACCGGCGCACCTTTCCGTCATTACCTTTTTCAGCAAGTGTCACTCACCAGTCGCAAGACGACTGTGCCAAGCACCCTGCCGTTTTTGTCTTCAAGTTCTGCCCATTGTGAACCAGGATCGGCAAGATTTGCAAGCAACACTGACATGATCATGCGCATTGACAATATTGAGTTGGAAAATGAAGCCAACACCAAGAATATTCGAACTGCAATTGAACACGCATGTAAACGCGAACTGCTAATAATCATGCAAAATCATGTTGTTCATGCATGATGCAGGACGGTCATTGATGGCAGCCCCTCTGAAGGTCAGCGAGCAGGTTGGCTCACAGTTGCATTTTCGGGGCAAAAAATTATGGCCATGAAATAAAATGCAAGTAGATTTAGTGTCCTGTAGCAAGCCATGCCGCAACACCTCTCGACACAAGTGCAAATCACTGGACAATGCATCAGCGCTTAACGTGTTGGTTCCAGCAGCTTGCCCCCTTTTTGCTGTATTATAGAAATATCAACGGCCACGGAAACTGCTCATGGTTGCGCCCAACCAACAAAACAATAAACGGTTCACTGACATCAACACGCGAACTGCCTATTCTTGCTGTCTTTTCATGATGGGAACGCTCACACACGGTATCACGAGAGCATGGACGTGGACATGCAGCATGCGCACACGACAATGTCCACAAGCATGGAGTTCATATGAGTTCATGGAGTTTGCCTGAACGCTCCGTAAAAAGATTCCCGTTTTAAAGGTTGGGGCCCGGTCCGGGAGTCCAGGAGGTGACCATAGTCATTGCTTTTGCGTGCACAAGCGTCCGCAATGTCGCCAGAGTGCCGCATCGGATTGTCGCATCGGACCCTCGCATGTCAAAAGCACCGACTGTCACAAGGATGGGACGTGTCGGGGTCGCCATCCTCGTAATCGTCCTCGCATTTGGACTTTCATCTTTGTAAACTTCGGGAATTCCCAGACCTTTAATTTGGGGGTGCGTGAACAGATTCCTCTTCTCACTCACGTGTCAACCGTAGGGATGGGACGTGTCAGCAAGCAAGCCGCGGCCCTTTGAAAGATTCCGGGCAGGGCCGCTGGACCGTTGACGTTGGTACCCGCAGATGAGCTATAGTCCAACGTCCTTGAAAAGGGGGTATATAGGGTTTCGGGTTTAGGTTTTAGTGTTTAGGATTTGAATTCCTAAAAAGGGTTATGTGGGGGAGTATTGCGGGAGCTACAGGGGGGAGACTAGGAGTTCAGACGATAGCTTAGATGCAGTTGGCGAGAGAGTCGAGGTTTACTGCCCAGACTAGTCCGTTCATCATTGTGCACGACATGCAAACTCACTCGGTACGTTCATTATTCAGTGTAGAACTTCCACATCAAACAGCACAAGTGCAAGCAGCGGACTATCCTTTTTCTTGGCGAGGAATCTGGGATCTGCTCCAGTCTCATCATCCATAGTCGGATTGATGGGAACAGCCAAAGCAAAAGCGAAGTAAGAATAAGATGCAAGCAAAAGATCACGCAAAAGCGTACGATGATTGAGTATTCACCCAGGTGTGGGAGGGTGGGTGAAAAAGCGAAGCTATCACTAAGCAGCATGCATGTGGAAGTTCAAGCGGCTTGGAGCCCAAGTGGCAGTCACACCAAACAAGAAACTTTTCTTTCGAACGCAGCGAGAAGATCTCACCAGGCGTGTCACGTCACATACCAGTCGGTACGCGGCTCTTCTTATGAGAGCAATTGTCTACTGCCGCACTATCCGTTCCGAGGAACCAAGCGATAGCGCAGGCGCCTACATGAGGTGTCCTCAGTGAAACACAGGAGATCTACATGCGAGCAAACATCTGTACAATGCTCACTCGGAGGTGACCTCCCTGCGGTTGCTCATATCTGGGCATGAGCTAGGCACACGAGATAGCAATTAATGTCAAATTCGGATAGAGAGCGAAGCTTTTTGAGCTTCTGACCGTCATCATGTATCCAAGCTTGGTCATTCCAGAAAGTCTGATGTTGCCGGCATTCCACTGATTCGCTTCAGCGTCATATTCTTCTTCCTCTGAATCTTCCTCTGAACTTTCCTCTACTTCTTCAGCAGCGGCTTGCTGAATGCCTGGGATAGGTTTATAAGAGGCGGCATGTCGCTATCAGTCTCTTCTTCTTCTCTTTGGGCTTCTTCCTCTTCCTGCACTTCTTCTTCTTCCTGTGACTTTCCTCCTTTTGGTCCTTTATCTTTGCTTTTTGTCTTTCCTCCTTTGTAAGGATGGTCTTTTCCTAGCCACCTATACTTCTTTTCCTTCTTGTCATACACCCACGAGTGGCCATGCTCGACGAAGTAGGCGTACCTGCGAATGACGTTCCCATACCAATCCTTGAACACTTCCAGCGACTTGTCCTGGGAGTCTGCTTGACTTCTTTCCTGAGAACGTGGTTGGTTGTACTCTTGAATCGCTTGCTCTCTCTCTCCTTTTGTCTTTCCTTCTTTTCCTTTTTCCTGGAACTTTCCTTCTCCTTTCCTTCCTTCTTTTCCTTCGCCTTTCTTTCCTTCTTTTCCTTTGTCTTCACCTTTCTTTGCTTCTTTTCCTTTGTCTTCACCTTTCTTTCCTTCTCGTTTTCCTTTGTCTTCACCTTTCTTTCCTTTGTCCTGAAACTTTCCTTCTCCTTTCTTTCCTTCTTTTCCTTCACCTTTCTTTCCTTCTGACTTTCCTTGCGCTTGTTTTCCTTCTCCTTTCTTTCCTTGGAAAACGCTTGCTGCTTCTTGCCTTTTTCTTTCTGCCTCCTCTGCTTCTTCCTGCTTTCTGCGCGCTTCCATTTGTAGTTGCTCAACCTTTCCTGCTTGTGCTCTCCTCATGCTTTCTGCATCTTCCTTCATTTTCTGCAACTCTTGAGCGCGCTTTTCAACTTCCTCATTTCTTCTGACTCCTGCAAGCCTCCTTGATTCTTCCTGCTTTTCTCTTCTTTTGCTACTTCCTCACTGTACCTAGCGCTTGCTTCGTTTTTAGCTGCGGCTTCCTCCAAAACTTCTTTTAACTTTCTTTTTCTTTCTTCTTCCTCATCTTTGCTTTCTCCTTTCTTTTCAAACTTTCCTGGCTCGTCCTTTGAGCTGCTTGGCTCTTCTTCTTCTTGGTTGTTCTCTTCTTCTTTCTCTTCACCTTCTTCTTCCTCTTCCTGCGTTGCTTCCTGTGAGCTTGTTGTTCCCAAACTTCTGTCGCTGCGGTATTTTCCTTTCTTTTTGGCCTTTCCTTTTGAGACCTTCTTCTCTACCTTCTCTTCTCTTTACTCTTTCTTTGCACACCACCACACTGCAAACGTGAACAACACCACAGCTAAGTGCGACAGGAGCTGGAGCAACCACGTCTTTATGCCTGTGAGGGCACTTCGCTCCATTGTAGTAGGCGAGGTCGCTGTACTTCCAGTGAGAAAACTTGACACCAACAATGCAAACATGCAACTGCGACTGTTGTTAGCAATGTTGTAGTTCCTGGTAGGACTGTTGTTGAAGTACCTGTGACTGCTGTTTGAGCCATGCACGGAGTCAACCAAACTTCTCAACACGCTTCGATCATGCCTGTGAAAATCTGAATCTCTGCACAATGCTCTCAAAACTTGCAACGCTTCAATGTCCAACTGTTCTGCTTGCTCTTGCAAACCAACTGCTTCATGTGAATCTGGATTTCCTGTGAAAAATCTGAACAATGATAGCAAGAATCTGACACGGCTTGCTGTCAATGCCTTTGTGCCAATATCAGCCAAGTTGTATCTTGTTTGAACTGCTGTAATTGACAAAATACCTGATTGGCAAAGATCTTGCAACCGCAGAACTTTCAGAGAAATGTGTTTTACTCTTCCTTGGACTCCTTGTCGCTGTATCATGCCACGTGCTGCTTGAGAATCACATCTCAGCACCAAACGGACAGGTTTTCCTGTGAGAAATTGCACAATGTTCTTGAGGTATACACCTTCACTTGCACCAGACGCTGCTGCATAGTATTCTGCTTCACCAGATGAGAGCGAAACAACTTTCTGCCTGCGACTGTATGAGTAAACCACAGAACCGTTCAACGCTAGAACAGCACAGCTTGTACTGCGTCTTGCACCATGGCAAGAGGCCCAATCACTGTCTGTGAAAACTTCCAGCGAATGTGTGGCTTCCTCAACTTCCTGAGAGGATTCAGGATCACCATCATCATTTCCTTCAGGCAAAGTATGGTTTGCTTTCAAGTTCAGAACGCTTGTACCTACAGCCTTTCCTGAGAACACGTAGTGAAAATCTTTTGTTCCTGTGAGATACAGGATCAAATGTTCCAACTGCTTGTGTTGCCTCTTTGTAGGGGCTGTCAAACCACTGCTCAACACGTTGACTGCAAACTGAATATCAGGCCGATCTCCTGAGATGTACAACAAGATGCCAATTGCAGTTCTGTACTTCCTGTGATCTTCAGCACCAAGATGCACTGGATTCGGATCAACCTTCAGTATGTCATTTCCACAAGGAGCAGCTTTTGGTTTCCTGTGACTGAGGCAAAACAACTCCTCCAGCTTCTGGATATACTTGGGATCAATGCAAATTGACAACCTGTGATTGAAGTATGAAAACTTCCTCTTGAGAAACTTGATTGTGTCAAGGCTGTAA